GGAGTCCAGAGAAAAGGGAAAACGTCCAGAGTACCAGGAAGTTCTAAAGTAAAAAACGTGCAGATATTTGTGTGTATTTTGCTAAAATAAATACAGCCAGTTATTTCTGGCTTGAAAACCTCTTCGGAGCTCAGCTTTCAACGGGTTAACTTGGCCAAGAGAGGCGTGCGATCTGTGGACAGAGATAGAGCTATACCTGAACCCACCACGCCCATAATCCTTTTATGGCAAATAAACAAACAACGTCACGGCGACTCAGTCGCGAAGGATTGCCATTGCTAGGTAAAAAGTGCCAAAAGGGTGCAATAAACGGGGTGCAGACTGAAGTTGGCCAAAGGGTATATGGTATAGGGATAGCGATAGAGTTAGGGATAGGGAAGAGTTGGACGAACCGAGCGTTGCACACGCGCAGTGGCATTGTTGCACACTCGGTTTTATGGGTGTGTGGTTTTAGCCCTTTGATGGGCATGATCATCCTGTTAATAGAAAGCGTGGAAACCCGCTGCAACCCTACCTGCCCGCCTGCGAATCTCTAATCCTTTCCGCGGCGATCCTGAACCCTTTTCGGCCACGAGGGGGCGAGCGTAGCTAAGGCGATTTAATTAACGCGGTCGCAACTAAGCCACCGATACCAGGACGTGGCTTAATTCGGAACCCTTTCGGCACGGAGGCGTTGGCCCTGCTAAAAGCCATCCGGCTACTGTTCCGAGGACGGGTTAAGGCTATAAGGGTTAAGGGATAAGGATGCAGTAGCATCATGGGCGTTATCGGAAAAGTCGGTGGGCGGAAGGATTTGACTTCCAGCGAAAGGATTGCCGGACTTAACTTTCGGAAAAACTCTAATATTTACCAAATACCAAAGGCCCAGAGAAATGCACTTTGTTCAGCCCTTTGGCAGCAGTCGAAAAGTCAAGTCTGGCTTCGGGATTTCACCAGCAAATTAACCGGCTGAGCCGGCAAAGCGAGGATCCAAAAGTCAGCAAGGTATATTAATAACTAAGGGATTAGAATTCAGCATATTTCTTTAAAACGGAGCTGTTTCCAGTTTATTAGGTTTAAAATAGCTTAATATTTATGAATTTCAAGGCACAGTTATACATTTCCATTCATAATTTGGATCTTTTAAAATTCCATTACCATAATAATATACATTGGCCTTTCGCTATGTTTCCTATACCCCAAAATTCCTTGTTTTTATTAATTTTACTGTTAGATCTGTCCAAAAAAAAAACCCGTTTTAGACAGCCCCCTTTTAAAAGTTATCCGTCTTCCGCATCACGCGATTCCTTCCTTCTTTGCCCTTATAAAGCCGCTCGACCAACCAACCTAAAAAAATACGACACAAAAACAAACGCAAAACGAAACGAAGACAACAGCCTCGGGAAGAAGAGGAGAAAAATGTATTTTTGCATTGTTTTTTTACCTGTTGCTAAATTTAGAATGTCTGTCGTCGGGTATTTGCTGACGTTTGTGTCGAAAAATTAAGCCTTCTGCCGCAAAAACCCCACCCACCGCCGACCGACCCCGCGACACCACACGCCCGAACCCCTCTTTCATTACCCTCACTACCTCCCTTACCTTGCCAAAAATAAAATTCTGGGCAAAATGCGTCGTTACGCTTAATGAGTAATAAAATACTTTGCACAATGTGGGGGAACAAATGCGACTGCTAACTCGCTCGCACGCAGTCTGTCTCCCTCGCACTCTCTTATCCACCCACTCGGACTTGCCAAAATTTACAGCGCCATTAGTTGCAAAAACAACAGCATTACCATACTCAAAGAAAAAGTTCATCTTTTTCGGACTTTAATTTAAATTTAGTTTAAACTTTAAAGTCATTTTCGAATTATAAGGGAAGGCTCATATAAGGAAAGGGTCATTACTATAGATGAATGAACTTTAAAAACAAAAGTTTTAATTTCCAATCGTCAGTTTTTGATGAATAATTGAATTTATATTTTATTTAAATATTACAAAAAAATTAAGATCTAACCCGATTTGCTATACCTTGATTTTATATTATAATAATCCTAGATCACTAAGATCTCTTTAGGCAATAATTTTCCCCAGTGCAGCAGCAACAGCGGATCGCGCAAATGTGGCGCGCGTTTTTAACAGCGTTGGCGATTTTTATGGCGTTTTAATCGCGAGAGTGGCGCGCGCGGCTAGAAATTTATTTTCGCGACCATGGAGCGTCCGCTCCGCTCTCTCTGTCTATCTATACCTCTCTCTTTCTCGCTATCTGCCGGGCGTAACAGTGGCTCCCCCTCCCCCACCAAGTTCTGTTATTTTTAGTTACATGCCGCTGTTGCCGACTTACCGACTTAACTGCGGCGCGTGGGCGTTTCTGCCGCTGTTAAAATCGCGACGAGACTGTTACGATCACTGCACAGATTAAGAAATCAAATCATTGGACAACAGATGTAAATAGATATTTACATAATCAATTACATTATGATTTTTAATCAAATTAATACTTCTCACTATTACTAATTTTTGAAAGTATAATAAATTAATTGGGGTGTTGATATAATCGTTTGAACAATTTATTCATCTCAAATACTCCCTTACTTCTTACCAACTTCTACGGAAAATTAACACGAGGATTTTTAGTTCGAGAAAATATTTTTTTTATGAGTGATCAGTGACCTCACATTTTCTTCCCATCAAGTTAGCCCTTTTCTGCTTCCAAATTACAGGAAAAATCATACAAGAAAATCCTTCTTTCGATCAAATATTTTTCTATGTGTGATCAGTGATCATCGGTGGTGATCAGGGCCTACGGGGAATCTGGGGGATCTGGCGCTGTCTAATTTTAGACGCAATTAGCAATGCGCACATTTCTGTGTGCTTGCGCCTTTTCGACTATAAATTTTTGCCACAGTTTATTTTAGACGCTGCATGTGATCGGGTCCGCCAGCAACAACAATGGGGCGTCAAATTGGGCGTTGAGCGCAAAAACAACTGCGAATGTATATGTATCTGTATCTTAGTATCTTTGGCGTTGTATCCGTGAGATACATCCACACCTTTGGCTTTTTTTGGCCAGCGAGCATGATGTAAAACGCCGCCAACGTTTTCCGATCTCTCGTTTTGTTTATTTTCTTCTTGCTTTTCGTTGCAATTAAATTGGCATGCACAAGTGCCGCCTCTGCCACCGCCGCCGCTGCCTCAGTCGCCGCCTCTGCCGACGTTGACCGCGGGCGGGCCGCCTTTTGATCGGCTGCCAAATTGTAATTGGAACGCGAAGGTGTTGTCGACGTCCGCCACTGCCGCCTGTATATATTGCCATATTGCCCGATTGCCATAATGCCGCATTGCCCGATGGCATGTGTTCTCGGCATAACAACCTTCTCGGGCGACCACAAAACGCACGGCACTAGACAGCCCTCAAAAATGTCAGAAATTCCCCAAATTGTTGTGGATTTCACAAGTAGTTAAACACGCATGTTTGCGATTCATCTTGATTGATTTTTCTAGCTACTCAGATTAAATATAATCACTTTTCACAGGAATTCTTTTGAAGAACTCTTTAAAATATATAGTACACCTTATTATCCAAATATCTGTGAACTGCCTTGACTCATCTTAATTAGCAGATGACAGTTTCTGCATAAAGAACTTCAGTTTTCAAAACAATGAAAAATAAAATATGGTAAATACTCGCTTTAAACCTAAATATCTTAGAGATTTACTTTGACTCATCTCCCCCAAAGTGAACTTAATAACTATATGACAATTTGTGGTTAAAGTTTCTCAGCTTTCGAAGGCAATTCCTTAGTAAAACGTAATTTCTGATTAGGGGTTTCTATTTTTTTAGAATTTTTCCCAAGACAATTTTACGAAACTAGATAATGTAACCCAAATAATTTGCAACTCAACGTAAATATATCATGCCAATTTCCAGTTAAATATGATCGCTTCTCAGAACTATAACCATATTTTTTGAGTAATGAGGGGGCCTAAGTAGTTATTTAAAAATTCACTTTCAGCTCCAAGTTCGTCATTCGAAATATTAGTGACGTACTTTAACCGATTTCCTCCCAAATAATCAAATTAATAAATAACCAACTTTTACGTCAAGCCACTCAGTTTTGGGAACAATTCCGCCCAGTTTCAGCCTATTAATGAATGGTTATTTTTATTTGATGCCCAGTTTTTCCTTGTAGTGGCGTATAATTATAGCCAACCTTCGATTAATCATTACTCCGAAACCGACACAAAAAAGCGGAGAAACGTGAAAATCCAGCGGTGCACGTAGACGCCATCAAACTGAATCTAAGCGTCGGCCGGAGCACGTGTGATCCACGCAGCCTTGTTGGCAGCGATTTCCATTTCATTTCAGCTATCGTCGGCTATCGATCAAAAAGCAAAGGGCGACCTTCACTTAATTGCGGCGGACGGCATGGGGAATTAGATTCGACAACAGACTGGTCTGGAAAAAGGGGGAAGAGCCAATGGCAACCCACCACCCACTGCCCCATCACACAACCACCCACTTCCGCCTGGCGTGCGCACAACCTTGTGATCTTGTTTACTGTTTAGCGACCCTCGAGCATATATACAGATATAGCACACAGCACACAAAAAACCGAACCTGTCGCACTGGGGTGGCGTCATATAGCCAGCTATTTTCACCTTCTATGGGACGTCGTCGTCGTCGTCGCGTTGGCCGCATGAATCAGCAAACCACGAACTACGAACCACCAGAAAGACAGAAACACAGCCTCTTGTGAATCCCTCGCCGAGTCCAAAGCTGATCGCCAATGGGGGTTTCGCAGTGTGATTTCCAAAAAGGAAGAAATGCCCACTCGGCGGACCCAAGGGGCGTATGAGTAACGCGGGGTGTACTTCTCGACTTTAGGTACCGCTCACACACTCGCACAGCCGAGCAGGTAGCAGATAGCAGATATACCCCTAGGTAGCCGAATTTCCACTGTATTCGTGCGGTCGTGTGGCTCGCGCTCCTCGCAGCGGCGATTTAGCCAACGAACCTGTCGATCAATCGTCAGTCGTCCGCCGAGAGCCCAGCGATAAGGTAGTCCCGCTACGCTCTGTAAACCCGCCGACATCCATATCCATCCAGACCCAGTGCTAAAACACTACATATAATATACCAGCGAAAAGCGAACACCCGAACGATCGATCTTCGTGCCGAGTCGTTTCGGTCTTTTAATCGCACTGCAGCCAGAACCTGCTGCTCATTCGCCTGCCGTAACTCGTAGCGTGCGGTTCTATCGCTCCGCTTAAAAGAAAAACCAAATCAACCCAGAGAATTTAAACGCTTATTTTACGTACTTCTCTGCGACGCTGCGCGAAAGTGAAACCAAGTGAACTTGAACAAGAAATAAGATCTGAAATAATTGCAAACCAGCAAGAAACAGTGAACTAAACCTTAAAGAGCAGCAAATCCAAATTTGCTGCCAAGTGTAAACCAAACTGTGCCTCAAACTCAACAAACAATATCTGACCGAAATGGTTACCGGCGTAACAGCAGCCAACATGACCAACGTTCTGGGCACCGCCGTTGTGCCGGCCCAGCTGAAGGAGACGCCGCTGAAAAGTGACCGTCGGGTAAGTGTCTAAACCTCCTCCTCAAAACGGATTAAATCAGAGCCCCCCCTCACAAGTAAAAAATGGATTAAATATAGCCAGAATTCCCTTAAACGAGAGCTCACAAACTCACTGTGGGCGACTATGAGTGGCCTGTCCCCATCAATCCCGCTGCCCAAATGCATTTCCTTTTTAGCCATGCCATCTCCCACATGGCAGAGCTGAATGAGCCCAGTCAGACCAAAAACAGCCGCCGTCGGCGCGCCAACACAAAGCGAATTTAACTCGCGACGCGTTGGTGGCATTTACTATATGGCATTTGCCTACTACTCCGACAACACGCGCTCCATCCATTCATGAGTGCCGCCCAAAATTGGCTGGCGTAGCTGCCCACCAGCTCCCCGGTTTGGGAATCAGATTCGGATTCAGTCGCGTGGTCGCTGCAATTGTCGGTCATCAGCCGCCGACCGGTTCATTGATTTGGCCAAAAAGCTGACTTCATCCCTCGCCAAATTTGGCCAGTTATCTTGTAAATTATTTTTTGTATTTTTCTCTGTGCTTAATCAGCCTGATTTTTCCCGCTCTGACCTTGCCGCTCTCTCTTGGCCATACCTGGTTGGTCTATTTATAGGCCCTGGCTGTAATTTATAACCGCCAAACTATTTTTACCCATGCCTCTCGCCCGAGTGGCGCTATAAATAGAGCACGCGCCGTGCGACTAAATTTGGCCGCCAGCCAGTCAATCCGTTCCCCCAGATCCTCCTCAGCCTCCTCCTCCTTCGTCCAATTTAAACCCCATGCAGCTTCCTCTATTTTTGGGTCGCTGCATGAGGTCAAATTAGCCATGCAAAAGCCGTGACTAATCGATGTTTTTTACTTTTCTTGCCTCTTGCAGTCGAACAAGCCCATCATGGAGAAACGCCGACGCGCCCGTATTAACAACTGTCTCAACGAACTCAAGACGCTGATTCTGGATGCCACCAAAAAAGACGTAAGTATTAAAAAAAAAAAAAATTAAAAAAAAAAAAAAAAAAAATTAAGAAAAATTTAAGAAAAAACACTTGAACATTTACTAATTTCCCATTTATTTTTTCTCTCTACTTTTAGCCGGCTCGCCACTCCAAGTTAGAAAAGGCCGACATCCTGGAGAAGACAGTGAAGCATCTGCAGGAGCTGCAGCGCCAGCAGGCTGCCATGCAGCAGGCCGCCGATCCCAAGATCGTGAACAAATTCAAGGCCGGCTTCGCCGACTGCGTGAACGAGGTGAGCCGCTTCCCGGGCATCGAGCCCGCCCAGCGTCGCCGCCTGCTGCAGCACCTGAGCAACTGCATCAACGGCGTGAAGACGGAGCTGCACCAGCAGCAGCGCCAGCAGCAGCAGCAGCAGTCCATCCACGCCCAGATGCTGCCCTCGCCGCCCAGTTCGCCGGAGCAGGACAGCCAAACTCCCGCAGCGGCGGCTCCCTACCTCTTCGGCCAGATCCAGCAGACGGCCAGCGGCTACTTCCTGCCCAACGGCATGCAGGTGATCCCCACCAAGCTGCCCAACGGCAGCATTGCCCTCGTCTTGCCACAGAGCCTGCCACAGCAGCAGCAGCAACAGTTGCTGCAACACCAGCAGCAACAGCAGCAGCAGCAACTCGTTGCCGCGGCGGCAGCAGCAGCGGCAGCAGCAGCAGCCTCCCAGGTGACCATGCCCCAGCGCACCGCCAGCACCGGATCCGCCAGCTCGCACTCCTCCGCCGGCTACGAGTCGGCGCCCGGCAGCAGCAGCAGCTGCAGCTACGCCCCGCCCAGCCCGGCCAACTCCAGCTACGAGCCCATGGACATCAAGCCGTCGGTCATCCAGCGATCGGTGGTGGTGCCCATGGAGCAGCAGCCCCTGTCGCTGGTGATCAAGAAGCAGATCAAGGAGGAGGAGCAGCCCTGGCGGCCCTGGTAGAGGGTTGAACAGATAGTTGCGCCCTCTATCGAATCTCCCGCTTTTAAGACTGACCCCCCAAAACACACTCATCATCATCCAAAAGTCACACATGCGCAGGCGTTGTGCGCATGCGCGTAGACATTTCACATCATTCGCCGGGATAACGCAAATGTTGCTTTGAAGTGCCGCCGCAAACATGCGAATCCTTAAATGGTCCATTGCCTCGTCGGTACAATTTCCTTGGAAATAAATTCGGCGAGGCTGGTGGACCTCCATCAGACGCAAACACACGTTGTTATAACTTATTTATTATTATTATGAAATCGATTTTTGAGAAACGGTATTCTACCAGGACATCGCCAAACTACCTCAGTCCAAGTACTTGGTGTTGAATTGCCTCATGTATCATGTATTACTCTTTCAATAACAGCAAATCAGCAAAAGTCTTCCATACAAATTCGACAAAACAAAAAAACACCTGATAAGCTGAAATACTTTTTATGAAAAAGATAAACGCAAAACATAAATCTTACCATCTAGAATGTACATCTCCATTTAAATATAGGTTTTGTACCTTAGCCCGCTAAGCCGCTTAGGTTTTCTCTCGCTCTTAAGTCTAATCAAAGAATAATTATATTTATAAACACACAAAAAACTACTCGTAAGGCCACGTGATATAGTGAACATAATGAGCTTCTAAGAAAACAAAACAAGAATTTGATGCAAGCAAAAGCAAAAAATCAACAAGAAAAGAAAAGCAAACAAACAACATACTAAAAAGAAATAAAATTAAAAGATTCTACTAAAAAATCAAATACGCAAAAGAGAGTTGTTTTTGGGACTGGGCTATTTTTGGGCTTTTTTTCCTGGGCTTTCGGGTGAAAGTCTCTTTATTTCTTCGTTTGGAGGTCAAACTGACAAACCGACTTATCGAGCCCCTGACTTATCGTGGCAAATTTCGACGCTAATTATAATGCCCATGGTGAAATTCATTCCGCTGGATCGGAGGATCGGCGGGGAGTCCGTGCGATAATACAACTTTTTAAGGGGGCTCGATTATGGCTGTTTCTGTTTCAGTTTCTGTTTCTGCTAATGTAATCGGCACGACGGGTTGAAGGCCTTTTTGCGGCCGAACCGTAACGGATATAGATATAGCCATTGGATTCACACATCCGGACTGCAAGGCCCGATAAACTAAAATATGTGGTGAAATAGTTATAAATCCTTTGTTATATAGAATTTCAACAACAGAGAACAGATTTTATTTTATTGCAATAAACCACGAAATTCTTCTAGCTGACGACAGCACAATACCGAATTTCTTAGAGATGTGGGATTTCAAGAACTAAGAACCAATACCACTGGGAGATCTGGCTCGAATTAGCTTGAACTCAATCGGATATCGCGCCTATTTAAATGGCTGATAAGGCTGGGTGTAATATAATGACTATAGAGTTTCCTTCACGGAAACTCCCTGGAAATATCCAACCCATTCCAGTTAGTTACAAGGAACCCCTAACTCAATAGGGAAATCTGTTACCTACTGGCGATGGTATAATCATACTACCCCCACTCTAATCTGAATCTGAGCAAATCCCGAGACCATTAATCGTCATATGCTCGTGACAAAAGTTTCCGCGAAGTCTGCGGAAAAAATACCGCATCATGCTGATAATATGAGAGCGATAAAGCGGATAAGCAAATAAATTTGTTTTCCCTTTGCTTTGGTGAATCAAGTGCACAGAGCAAACAACTTTCAGTTGTTCATCACGGGTTGGCCACCCGATGCAATTCATGTAGATCTGTTTCTGGACTCACTCTCATTCACCGCATGACTGGATGGCACTGGCTATTCACAAAACTAACTCGTGCAGCCTCAAAGTCCAGCGAAAGTACTCGTAAGAATACAGTGAAATACAGATTGCACACAGCAGCCGGGCAAATTGTCGCATGTTCTGGAAACTGAACAGTTCATATTTTGTTTTTATACTGAAAGTACTCTACGTGGAAAGTCCGATTGGGTGGTTGGGTGGTTGCGTGGCCAGGCATTTGCCCCACTGAGCTGAAAGTGCATTGATTAGTCACCGGGGATCCGACTTTCGGCCCACGAATGAGTCATAGTCCCTCGTCTAGCGCGAAGTAGCTTCAAAATTTGTACCAGCATGTCTGCCAATTTACAGCGAAAATAAAAACGGGCCCACTTGAGTCATCACGTTTGCCTTAATTAGCTAAATCTTTTCAACAAAAACCCCTAAAAAGGCCTCTGATTAAGGCATTGAAAGTTAACCCTTTTGCGTTAGGTTTTTTGGAACTGTAAAAATATATTTGTATTATCAAATGGGCAATTAAAGTATGTCCCCAATGGCAAGTTAGTGAAATGTGGACTTTCCCATTCAACAACAAGGGTTCTGTGTTTATTGTACAATTACTCAATGACAACATTTTCCCCTCACTCTTATTTATACACAACTATCTCCAGAAAATAGCTTAGTAATGCAATTATTTACTCTTATAAAATGATGAAATAGGTTTAAATAGATTAATTTTTATTTAAAAAACGTAGCTATACTAATGATCAATAAATATATAAATACAGATCGAAGAAAATATATGAGTAAAGAACGATTGGTTATTTACTTTTTTATTTTTCCCTTACAAATATCTTGAAATAATATATATAAGAACCCCTAAGTGCTCCACATAACTCATGCATGCTGGCTAATTTCCAGATCCGTGTGCAAATTGCGATTTGCATAGCTGCATTCCTCAGAGGGCAGTCAGCATGTCGTCTGATTTTTGGTTCTGCTTGAAAGTCGGTGGTCCTTCAATTTGATCTGCCTGGCAGCGAAATGAATTCGCCACAGTTGCGCACAAATGAAATCGAAATTAAAGAACAACGTGGTTCTGGGTGCTGGGTTCTCTTGGGTTTTCTACGGTTGCGATATGGGGGATAGTGGAACTCAGGGTCTGGTGCGACATTTGAGGCTACTTGCGACTGCGTGGAATGCCGCCAGTCGCCAGTTGTCACGTTTTGCTCTGGCAAATGACCCCAAAACAAAAACAAAACCTCGCCGAACAAAGCTGTTTGTTTACGACGACTCGTGTAGCATTCCGTGGAACTGTGTGGAGCGGCATGGAGCACTTCATTTTCACTCCACTCCACTTCATTCATGGTAACTGAAGATCGAGTCGTTGTCGCAGAAATTTCGGCGAACTGCCTTCCCAGATAAGCGGGAGTCGAAATCGCAATGGGAATAGGAGTCGGCAGCTGGAGATTCGGGGAGCACGCATAAACAAGTTGAATGAACCGGGGGCCTGGGCCAAGAATTTCTCATATCTAATGTATAATTTGAATTCAACTATACTACTATACTATATAGCCACTTCCCCAGCCAATTGGCAATGTCAAATGCGAGCCAAGTTTAATGACTCGCCGACGACTTCTCTTGACACCCGCACTTCGCTTTTTGTTTGGATTTTTGGTATTGGTTTTGCGGGCTTTGTTTTCTCTTCGGGCTCTTTGGGTTTTTGAACTCGTTTTGCGAGTCTTGATTAGAGGCGACGGCGTTGTCGCTATTTTTGCGCATATGAAATGGGGGATCTCGGAAATGTTAGGAGCCATTGAACCAAGCGCCGCGGTTCAAGGAGACTGGCCTACTCGATGCGGTTCTAGCTGCTAACTGGGCCTAAACACAGTTACACAGTCGGCAAGGTCGTTTCGTCTGGTTTTTCGTGGTGTGTGTCTGTCTGTTGGCCAAAAGACGTGCTCCGCATAGACAAGCAGCGGAATCGGATTCGAATTCGGTGGCTTTGACATTCAACTCGCTGTGCGGCGGTTCAAGTGGCACAAACCGAGCGAACCACCAGCGAACCACTCCCCACCACCAACCACTGGGCAAGGTCAGTTCTACGTAGCGTAGCGGCTAACTAACCTAAGCCATTTCACTTCGTTCACCCAGTTACACTTTACACTGCGCCATTAAAATCAGAGGGGGGGTGCCTAGATATTTACTATTTATATAGCCTATCGCTGATAGGGAAGTCAACACCTGAGCTGAAGAGCCGCAGAAGGGAACCACCCTATCACCTTGAGCGGCACGTGACCAGGCTATTCGGTGGTTCGGTGGTGCAAAAGAATTTCCCTCGAGCCACCTGATCGCATGTTATTTGATCCATTAGGTTGGGGGACTGGCTTCGCTGGAATCTCCGCGCACTTCATGTAAATAACAACGGTGCTTCGATATATGTGCATGTATCTTTCAAATCTGCCAGCACTCCTGGCCATGCAGATAGCAAAAAGTCCTTAGCTTTTTAAATAATTCAATTTTTATAAAAGCAAAATATAAAAGTACATAATAAATATTATAATATTTATTATATTTTAAACAAAGAGTATTTTTAATACTTCCTTTAGTTAGGAATTATCAAATTCAAATGGCGTATCAAAACAAAATAAAAATGTTAGACTTCTAGTTCCGATCTCTAACAAATTCCTTAACCGTTTAAAGGTTTCTAGGAAAAATCCAACTGATAATCGAAATTCAATTCAGGAATACTAATTTTCTCAGTGCCTCCTCGCTTGCAATTCGAAGTGTGTTTTTGTTTGTTTTCCGTTTTTCAGTTGTGTTCTGCGCTGTTCGATCGCATCCACTTACAGGCCCCGTGCATTGGAAACTGCAGGCCACGCAAAATATTTCACTCAAATAAATATAGCCGTTTATTTTGGGAAACTGAAACAAGCAATGCCGAGTGGAGGCAAAGTAAATAAATAAGTAAGCCAGCAAATACCGCAACGGAACCCACTCGAATCACGTTTTCTGTCACGCAATTCGAGTTCTTTCAATGAAATGGATTTGGATTTGGAAATGGAAATGGCGCAGTATAGTGGGCATATGGTCTTTGTGGTTCCACACTCCCATTTCCATTTTCGCCACTCGGTGGTTGACTTATCAAATCAAGTGGTGGAGAAGGAGAGAAGGAGAGATAGGCAGTTGGAGGTGTGGGTTAAGTCCAAATTGGGCAATTGAACGGGCAGCTTCTGTTTGATAGTGGTCAGCGTTTGTTATGGTCATTGTCCATATAAACTGATAAAGTGGACTCGGCGGTTTCAGATTGAGTGTTAGCCACAGCCTAGACAAGTTTTTAGTTAGGCCTATATCATATGGTGTTGGTAATATCTCTGGGCAAACAAGTTAATTGGATTGTAATTTTCACTAAGAGGTGGCAAAAGTTAACTTAACTTTATATCTAGTTAGGTAATTATTTTTAAATTTTAGGTAATATTATTTGACAGTCTAAAAACTGTATGTTTTGTATGACATGTCCTCTCTATATATATACACTCTTTGTAAATATTATTATATTATTATTAAATATCTAGCTAGGTAATTAATTTTAAATTTTTGATAATATTATTTGACAGTCTAAAAAAGTCCCTAAAACAAAAAGACGTCACTGCTGTCTAATCTCCTTTAAGTTTCGCTATGGCAAATCGCATTACTCAATAGCTGGCAACTTCGAACAGGTGTCTAAGCTCCGTGGGGTTAAATGAAGCGCCGTCAATCTTATCGGTGTCGCACTGTCGGCGAACTGAAAGCCTAAGCCCCGCGGACTTGGGAATTTGGGTGCGCGTGCCAGAGGAAAATGCCATTGGATCGGGCTAACTGTGGGGCTGAGAGGCTGGGGCCTGACCCATTGCATTGCAAGTGGAAAATTTTCATGGTTTACATCAACGATTCGAGACCCGCCAATGAGAAGTGTCAACATGTGCTCATCTGATTAGCACCGC